TGAAAAGTTTCATTAGTCTCTTCTCCCACTCAGAAGGAAGGAGAACTCATTAAAGAAGGGCTGGAATGGGAGACCCATACACCAGTACTGCTCAGGGATCAAGACCAGTCATTGGAAGGCACCTGCAGTTTTTAAGCTGCTTAACTTTTAATTTTAACCTTTAATTCTTAAATTAGAAGTTTGAAAGAGACAGTTGATAAGGGGCAAATAGTACTTTCTTCCCATAGTTGTGTGGCTTTCAGTTTTGCTATGTTTATGAGACATATGTACCCTCTCATCTGTGGTAGTAAGTTTTGGTTTCTTACAGGAACTGAACTAAGAGAAGATGTTATGTACAATAATACTAGGTAGTTTCACTAGACCATAATAAATTTGTTTTTAAATGCTTTAAAAACTGATTTTATTGAGATCTTTTGGCTTTATATTGCCTTAATTTCCCCCTGTATCTCTCTCCTTTAAATATCTAATAGATTGTTTCTATTCTATTTCAATTTAAGTTACTAAAGTTTTAAAGCGCAAAAATGTTTTACAAAAACCTCCTACTTTCTGTATTAAGACAATAAATAATGGCTTGAGGAAACAAGGCTCCCCTTTTTAATGGCAGTAATTGTTTAAAACACACAGTTGCCATGCAGTTCTGTAGTTTTATACTTTTAAAAGTAATTTCACGTCTGTTGTTACTTTTTAGCTTCTTGGAAGGAAGGAAAATATGATTGTCTCAATTTTATTGATGATGAAATAGACTTGCAGAAATTAAGTCCATGGTCCACGGTCTCACTGATAAGTTAGAGAGACGAAAGAATTAGAATCTTTTCCAATTCCAATTCCAGCATTATTTTTCCTAGTAATATATATACACACACACACACATACACACACACACACACATATATCTATATCTATATCTATATCTATATCTATATCTATATCTATATCTATATCTATATCTATATCTATATATCTATATCTATAGAGATACTGTCTGTATGTGCTATATATGGATATATTAATATACATACATATACTGATATATTTGTATATACTTATATGTATAGGTATATACTGATATATATTTATATATGCTGATAGATGTACTGTATAGTATATAGAGCTATAACTGGGACTTTTTATACTTTGAGACTTGAACTACAAACTGTACCTAAGGCCAGTGTGCCCCAAAAGGCTTTCTTAACTGATGAATCTGGACAGAGAAAGATTCCAGCATATCAGCACAGAGCTGCTCCTGCTCAGGGTATAAAAAGGGAAAGGGCAGGGTGGAGAAGGAGCCCCCCCCCGACCTCTGGGAAGGAGCTTACAATTTTGTCTTTCTTCCCTTCCCCCACCCCCAGCTAGGCACTAAGTTCTGTTGTTTCTCTTTCCAGGGACGTTTCTGTAAATTTGACAGAAATTAAATCCATTGTCCAAGGTCTCACTGATAAGTCAGAATGAAAATAGAATCAGAATCTTTGAGGTTCCCCTTCCTAGGTATGATTCTGTGCATTACCTTAGATATAATTTTAGAGCCTAAAATGACTTTGCTTCTTAGACAAAGGCCTTTAGTAGGACAAAAGAAGAATTCTCGTAAGTCAAAAACACCATTTATGATCAGATAAAGAGAAGGTCCTTAGTGGATATGATTTGCTAAACATTTCCTTCTAATGTATGAAATAAGTCAAATAACAAGTACTTTTGCATTTGATTTCTAAAAGCTTTTATTTTAGAAGGGAGTGGTTTGATAGTGGCTTTAATACCTTTTCCTCCCCATAATTATTCCATGGCATTAAACTGAAATCCTAATTTCCCAAGTAGTTTGAGTAGTAAATATTTCACAAAGGGCTTATTTGGCCAGATGGTCCTGCACATCATACATCCAAGGAAAAAAATTGCACATGTGATGTGTGTGTGCATGTATATGTATGTATGTATGTGTATGTGTGCCTAGCTGAATGTATTTATATGTGTACACACTTTATTTTTTTTGTGATAGGGTTTTAATGAACCAGAAAAATAAAAATTCCTCCCTGTACAATTCAAAATATGGCTTGGGTGCTTCAACTTTAGTATTTATTCAAAAAAGGCCACTGATATAGACAGCAACATCTGTACTCCAACCTCACCCCCTAACCAATGACTGGTGGTCAACCTTCTGGTGTAACCCTCTCTCCACTTACCCAGGGTAGTCCTTGAGGGGCAGGCACTGTATTGACAGATGATCTTCCAGCTTGATTTAGGACCGGTCTTTGTAGGTATAATCTTGGAGGCATCCGGGTGGTGTATGACCTCTATGCATTTTATAACCAAGTAGCAGTAGTAAAAAAAGAAGATTCGTCATTAGCGAGATGTAGGTTCTACTTCTGGTTCTGCCAATGGGTAACTGAATACTTTAGGAATGTCAGTCAGTACACATTTACTATGCTTACTACATGCCAAACTCTGCCAAGCTCTGGAGAGACAAGAAGAGGCAAAGGACAGCTCCTGCCCTTAAGGTGTCCACAGTCTAATGAGAGAGACAACAAGCAAATAAATATGTACAAATAAACTGTGTACAGGACAAATGAGAAATAATTAAAAGAGGGAAGGCACTAGAAATAATAGGGGTTGGGGAAGGCTTCCTGTAGAAGATGGGATTTTATTTAGAAGGTAGCCAGGGATAGGCAGAGATGAGAAGAGAGAGAGAATTCCAGGCATGGGAGTAGTTAGGGAAAAGGCCCAGAGATGAAGAGATAGAGTGTCTTGTTCATGGAACAGTAAGGAGGCCAGTGTTGCTGAATCAAAGAGGGTAAAGTATAAGAAGACTAGAAAGGTTTGGGGGGGGGGCTGGTTTATGAAGGGCATTGAATGCCAAATACAGGGTTTTGCATTTGATCCTGGAGGTGATAGGGAGCTACTGGAGTTTATTGAGTAGGGAGGTGGTGTGAGCTTTAGGAAGATCACTTTGGTGGCTAAATGGAGAATGAATTGGAGTAGGGAGAGACTTGAGCCAGCACTCTTTTGTAATAACCTAAGCTTGAGGTGATGAAGGCATGCACTGGAGATATGGCAAAGTTGAAATAAATAAGTCTTAGCAACATATTGGATATGGGAAGATAAGAGGAATTTGGGATGACACCTACCTTGTGAACCTGAGGGACTGGGAGAATGACGTTGTCCTCTACTAGAATTGGGAAGGTAGGACAGAGGGAAGGTGTAGGGGAAAAATAGCAAGTTCTGTTTTGGACATATGGAGTTTATAAGATGTCTACTGTGCATCCAATTTGAGGATGTCAGAAAGGCAGGTGGAGATGGGAGAGTAGAAGTCAGCAAAATTTGGAGCAGAATAGGTAGATTTGAGGATCATCAGCCTACAGATAGTAATTAAATCCATGGGAGCTGATGAGATCACCAAGTGAAGTTGTATAGAGGGAGGACAAAAGAGGGCCCAGGATGTAATGCTCTAACATCTGGATGAGGATCCAGCAAAGGAGACTGAGCGGGAGCAATCCGATAGAAGAACCAGGGGAGAGTGATGTCCCAAAAACCTAGAGAAAAGAGGATGATTAACAGTAGATATTAGGCTGCAGAGAGGTCAAGAAGAATGAGGATTGAGAAAAAGCCTTTGGATTTGGCGATGAAGAGGTCATCAGTAACTGTGGAAATCACTTAGCCACTTGGCTTCTGTTTCCTCAACTTGAAAATCTCATGGGATCACAGATTTAGAATTGGAAGGGAGGTTATACAACCATGAAAGATCATACAGCTATTAAGTATTAAAGCTAGATCTTCCTGATTCCAAGACCAGTGACCTCTTCACTACATCATGCTGCTTCTCATGATTCCATATGATTTTAGCGGGGGGGGGGGGAACAAAAACAAGGACATGTTTTCTGAAATTTTTTTTTAATTTCTAGGAAGAAGAAATACAAACGCTTGGTCAAATTGAATTTTGTTTCACCAAAGACCTACATTTGAGAAATTGTACTGAGCCAGGGGTATACTTCCCCTTCCTTCAAGATGCTTTGTTGACTGATGAGACTTCCATGACTTTTGGGCTCTCTGTCTGTGAAGATGGCCCCGTTTTCTATCCCCCTCCAGAAAAGACATACCGTTGACATTTGGATGATTGGAAATATGTCATGTCAGATGGCCTCTGTTTGGGGAAGCAAGAAAGTTTCACAGAAAGGTTCAACCAAATGCATGTTTACTTTTTAAAATTAATTTTAGTAGCCATTCCCAATGTTTTACAAAGGAAGTAGAGAAGAAAGGGTACATCACAAATCTGAAAACCTAGGGGGTTTTTTTGGTTTTGTTTTTAAATAAAGTGCACAAAGTTTGTGTTTGTTTTCTAAACAAGAAGAATGGCTAAAGAAACAAAAAAAGGTTTTATATGTCTTAGTAAATCGTTTTAACATTTGGTATGTGATGACTTGTACAGTTCATAGGGATTGTGTGTACCTGCCATGATGGAGAATGTCTTTGGATGCCTGGAGTCTCTTGCTGCCTGTGCATGGTAGAAGGACCACAATGTAGGTGTTGCAGGCTGGCTTCTGAGATAAAATATTGGGTTACCAAGCTATTCTCCTGTTGTTCTACATGACTTATGCCAAGGAATAAATATTCCAGAGTCTGTTCACTTTACCTATTTCTCTTGTATAACAGGTCTTGCAACCTGTATAACACATACAGTATTCTCACCAGTTCTCCTTGCTGGAGAAGGGAATATGAGGTAGCAGCATTTCTTCTTCCTTCTCCACTATATAGGTGCCAAAAAACAAACAAACAAACAAGCCTTTTTTGCCAGAAGAGAATAGAACACTTCATATAATTTTCATTTGTGTTTTTTTTTCAAGGTTGTGTTGCTGGAAAATTAAATAATTCAGGTTGGTTATTAATTAAGATGACATTTTCCCTCTCTAAAGGTAATTAGGGCACCATGGAGAACTTGGGCACATTGACAAGTAGGGTAAAATATGGTGACAAAAATACAGTTCCAAAATGTGGTGCTTCTATTATTTTGGATCCTGTATCCCAGCAGGAATTGTTATACATCATCTTTATTTGGTTTCACAGTAACATAATGTTCTTGTTAATGACCCCAAACACTCCAGGCTACAAATAGATAACTGCAGTGTGAGAACCTGTACCTACTCTGTGCTGATTTTATTTTTTTTTAAATGGGGATTTCTAATGATCTGTGAAATCAGCTGCTTTCCATGCTTTATTAAAACGATCTTTTTACTCTGGTGTGTCCTTCCTCATTTCTCTGCCCTTATTAATCCTTCTACATTTAGAGAGGTTTTGTGATGTGAATCACCAATTTGAACTAATCATGCAAAGGACTAAATTAGATTTTGTTTTGTATTTTTTTTTAAAGCTTATTAAGTTTCAGCATTCTAATTGGGGTAGTCTTGAGTTCCGTTTTTTAGGGTTTTATTTATGTTGCCTGTGAATTGGTAGGTGTTATTGATTCTGTAGCCTTTAAAACTTAGCAGTCTGTACTTCATCAGAGTATATTTTACTTCTACTGGTTTTCCCCTAGAATGGATCACAATAAATTCAAGTTTAGGCTTTGTCCTGGCTCATTTTAACAAGGGAGTGTCAGAGAGCAGGCGATATAAAGTCAAAAAGTGAAGGGATGACAGTTCCCTACCTTCATTCTGTTGGTTGAAGGTTTAGACTGTCTAGTGTCTTGTTGCTCTGTTTGTTTAAATTCATTGACCAGATGTGATTTGTTTGAGCTCATCCTCTTTTTATTTCTTATTTCTATATTGAGAGTGTTGTCTAGCTTGGTTATCTCCAAACTCACAAATTCCAGCATCCTTCCGAGAAGTCTCAGTCAAGGGGACGCTAAACAAGAGAGAGTTTTCATTTTGAACATAGTTTTATCCTGGAACAGGAGAATTTTTGTTCCTTTCTAAACGACAGAAGAGAGCATTTCTGGGTGTAAGCTTTCTCTGTAACTGCTTCACACTCATTTTCAAGTAAGGGAAGGATTATTGTTCATAATTAGTGTCAATTTGGCAGTTTTTGAAAACAGGTTTAAAGATGATTAACACCTTGCTTTTACACACATACAGTAAAGGATCAGTAACTGTTTATTGGGTATCATTGAGAGTTAAAAGAGACCTTCCTTAAAGGCCATCCAGGCCAACTCATTTATCAAGTGAGGAAACTGAGACTTAGGTGGCTTACCCAAGGTCACATAGATAGTAGCCAAACTAGGATTTGAACCCAGGTTCTAAAATCCCAGTAAAATACTTTTTGCCTTACCTTATGGTAATGAACGAATGAATGAAAGAAAGCCCCTCTGTTATTTCAGTTCTTCAGAATTTCACATTGCACTGGCATATAGCAAAATGACCACCAAGTTAACCATTAGTACTGTAAATTCTAGGCCTAGATGTATGAGCTGGGGAAAGACACCCTTCCTGGGCCTTCGTTTTCTGATCTGCAAAATAAGAGGTTGAGCTGAATTTTAGGATCATAGATTTGGAGCTAGAAAGGACCTTAGAGATCGAGTCTGGCCTTTTTATTTTATATATGAGGAAAATAAGGACCCACGATAGAGTAAGGAGTTCGAATTTAAACCCAGGCTCTCTGAGTTCAAATCTAATGTATTTTCCCTGACAAAATTCCCTTCTAACTTTGACATTCTGTGCTTTTGGCTAATATGGGGCAGCCAAGTGGGGAGTGGCTAGAGTGCCAAGCCTGGAGTCAGGAAGACCTGAATTCAAATCCACCCTCAGACACTAGCTTCATGACTCTGGGTAAGTCACTTAGCCCCTGTTTGCCTCAGTTTCCTCATCTGCAAAACGGGGATAATAATGTACCTACCTTGCAGGGTTGTTGTGAGGACCAATGAGATAATTGTAAAGCACTTAGCACAGTGCCTGGTACATAGTATATGCACGGTTGTTTTTTTTTTTCTTTTAGTAATTTATTTATTTGTTTTTCATTTTCAACATTCACTTCCATAAGATTTTGAGTTTTAAATTTTCTCCCCCTTCCTCTCATCCTCCCTCCCCAAGACAGCATGCAATGTGATATAAGCTCTACTTATACATTCATATTAAGCATATTTTCACATTAGTCATGATGTAAAGAAGAATTAGAACTAATGGGAGGAACCATAAGAATGAAGGAACAAAACAAAACAACAAAAGAAAAGGAGAGCAAATAGTACTCTTCCTTCTTCATTCAGATGCCATAGTTCTTTCTCTGGACGTGGGTAGCATTTTCCATCATGAATCTTTTGGAGTTGTCTTAGATTCTTGTATTGCTGAGGACCTAAGTCTATCAAAGTTAGTCATCACACAGTGTGGCTGTTACTGTGTATAATGTTCTGGTTCTGCTCATTTCATTCAGCATCAGTTCATGTAAGTCTTTCCAGGTTTTTCTGAAGTCCACCTGCTCATCATTTCTTACAGCACAATAGTATTCCAATAGTATATGCATGTTAGCTAATATTGTTATTATAGCAGTTTTTCAAAGATACAGAAAGCCATTACCCAGTAAAATTGACTTCTTCATTCAGGCTCTTTGAGTTTACTGTCTCTATTTCCTTAGCCATACACATGTTTAGAGATTTATTGGCTGTTCTAAATAATAAGATGTACTCCTTTATGCAGTGCTTTAAGGTTTGCAAAATGTTTTATACATACAATCTTGTTTTATTTCCATAACCCTAGGAAGTATAATTATCCCCATTTTACAGATGACAAAACTGAGAGAAGTTAAGAGACTTACCCAGTGTCACAGCTAGTATTTGAACTTGGGTCTTCCTGACTCTCAAATCTAGCAATTATCCATTATACCACCGAGCTGCCTCATAAAAGAGTGGAAAGGGAACTATAGTTCACTAACTAAAATGTTAGTAGAGCCTTAGCTCCAAGTTCCACATGATGAATCTCATTCCCATCATCTTTATTCTTTATTAATCTTACTTATGTTAGTTCCTCCCTTCTTCTTTTCCTCCCTTCTGCCCTTCCTTCTTTCCTCAGCTATTACCCTGCCTGTTTGTTTCATGGTATTCTCCCATTGTCTGCCATCTCAGTGTATTGGTTCATTCTGGAGCACAGATGATTTATATTTATGTTTTGGGGAAGGTTGAAAACCCAGATCAGTTTTCTTTTTCAAGAGGCTGGCTTTATGGATCTCAGTAATTGTTTCTGCAGAGCTGTAGGCAGAACTCAGTGTCCCCAGAGTAGAGCCTTTCTCAGTAACAGACTGATATCTCCTGGAACTATTTAAAAGTGGAGATGATTATCATTTCATTGTAATTGTTTTACAAATAAACAATGCCCTGGGCTAGAATCTTATCTCCATTATTTTAGGAAGAGTCAGTCTACAGAAACTAGATTCCTATTTATCCTATAGCTAAGATACCTAGGTAGTTAAGGAAACATTAGAATCTCATCTGGCATCTTTGTATAAACACTAGTGGTCTAACTAAGGATAAATAATTAGAATAACTTTGCTTACATAATCTTCAAAAAAGCATCAGATGGTGCATACGTTTTGATCCAGCAATACTACTGCTAGGTCTATATCCTAAAGACATTAAAAAAAAAAGGAAAAGGACCTATTTGTACAAAAAACATTTATAACAGCTCTTTATATGGTGGCTAAGAATTGGAAATCGAAGGGATGCCCATCAATTGGAGAAGGGCTAAACAAGCCGCGGTATATGATTGTAATGGAATGTTTTGTACTATAGGAAATGACAAGCAGGATGATTTCAGAAAAACCTGGAAAGACTTACATAAACATCATAATGCATAGTGAAGTAACCAGAACCAGGAGAACGTTGTACACAGTAACAGCAACATTGTTCGATGAAGAATTGTGAATGACTTAGCTATTCTCAGCAATACAATGATCCAAGACAATCCCAAAGAACTAATGATGAAGCATACTATCCTCCTCCAGAGAAAGAACTGATATTGTTTGAATACAGACTGAAGTGTGCTATTTTTTACTTTCTTTCATTTTTTTCCCTTTTATTTGAGTCTTATACAAAATGACTAATATGGAAATATTTTGCATAATTGCACATGTATAACCTATATCTAATTGCTTACCATCTTGGGGAGAGGGGAGAGGTGAAATGAAGGAGGGATAGAATTTGGAACTCAAAACTTTAAACAAAAGTGTTTTTTTTAAAGCATCAGATGCTTATAGAGCTATCACTAGCTGCAAAGCATTGTCTTGGGCTTCTTGGAAGAATTTTTTTTAAAGTACAGGACTTGGCTTCTACCCTCAGTGAACCACAAACCTAGTTCAGAAGATAAATCAATTTAATTCAACAAGCATTTATTAAACATTTGCTGCATTTCAGGCAGAACTGTATGCAACAGGTAGTATTACATGCGTAGTGGATAAAGAGTTCCATCACAAAATCTTGCTTCAGACGCATATTGATTGTGTGATGCTGGGCAAGTCACTTCACTTTTCAATGTCCCGAGAAAGTCTTAGCCTAAGACTGTTAACTTCAGAGCACGACCCCGTCTGCATTGATAAGAGGGAGTTTGGCCATCAGAAATTCTCTAAAGAAATGAAATCACAAGTTTGCTCAAAAGAAATTTAAAAAGGTCTAGGCGTAGCATTGAAGTATGGGGACTATAAAGACAAAAATCAAAGTTCCTATCCTCAAAAAGCTTATGTTTTTCTGAGGGAAATCAATGTGGATGCAGGTAAATAAGTGCAAAATATGTCCAATATAAATACAAAATTATGGGGTGCGAAGAGGATTTATAATTGTGGAAGAGCAGGATAGACCTTTTTTTTCAGAGGTTGTACTTGGGCTCAGTCTTGCAAAAAGCTGGAGATTTTTTCTTTTTCTTTAAAAATGTAATAGCATTTTATTTTTTTCCAATTACATGTAAAGACAATTTTCAACATTCATATTTTGGAAAGATTTTTGAGTTCCAAATTTTTCTCCCTCTTCCCCCTCCCCAAGACTGCAAGCAATCTGATATAGATTATACATGAGCAATCATGTAAGACGTATTTCCACATTAGTCATGTTGTGAAACAGAACAAGGGGGAAAAACACAGGAAAAAAAACCCAAAAAAGTAAAAATAATATGCTTTGATTTGCATTCCATCATTTCTTTCTCTGGATATGGATAACATTTTCTGTCATGAGTCTTTTAGAGTCCTGTTAGATCGTTGTTATTGCTAAGAGCTAAGTCAATCACAGTTGATTATTGCACAATGTTACTGTTATTGTGTACAATGTTCTCCTGGTTCTGTTCACTCAACATCAGTTTATGTAAGTCTTTCCAGGTTTTTCTGAAATCCACCTGCTCATCTTATAGCATTCTTATAGTGTTCCATTATATTAATATACCAAACTTGTTCAGCCATTCCCTAATTGATGGACATCACTTCCGTTTTGCCACCACAAAAACAGAAAAGCTGGAGATTTCTAACTGGTGAGGTGACCAGGGAGAGCATCGCAGCCCTGACATGCAAAGGAAGGAAGACAAGAGCTGAAATACTAAGTGAGTTGCTTTGACTGGAATATGGAGTGCTGGATGTGTTGTGGAGGTAGAAATGCTAGGACTTGGCATCTGATGGGGAAGAGCAGGAGGGAATGAGGGAGAGAGAAGAGTTGAGAATGACTCCAAGATTGTAAAGCTAGGTAACTGGAAGGATTATTAAGATTAGGAAGAGGGATGAGTTTAGGGGAGGGGTTTCTTAACCTTTTTTGTGTCATGGGCCCCTTTGGCAGTTTGAAGAACTGTATGGACCTCCTCTCAAAATAACGTTTTTAAAAGCATGCAATAAAATACACAAGGTTACAAAGGAAACCAATTATATTAAAATATGGTTATCTATCTACTGTATCTCTCTGTATCTATCTACATACGTATGTCTATCTGTTATCTATCCGCCAAGTTCACAGACCCTAGTTTAAGGACTCCTGGTATAGGAAAAAGATGATACTGATAGCAATATAATATTTAATAATCCAGAGCAAAACTAGGAATGATCATTCAAAGGGAGCACATGATTAATAACCAAATGATGGTTTAAGAAATGCAAAAACTAGTAACAATCTCTAAGAGTTCAAAGAACTTATGAGTCATTTTGGTCAAAATTTTTTTTTTAGTGGCTAATAGTCTACTAAAGTTACATGGCCATTATGCAATAGAACATGGATCTAAAACCAACACTATCCACTACTCCTAAGATGTTCCTTATTAAAACCTCTTCTCCATCTCCTCCTATGGTAATTAAAGAGGTGGGATTTTATGTAATAAGGAGAAATATTCCAAGGGAGCTGGATTCATATTCTCATTCTGCCGTTTACTACCTGTGTAACCTTGAGCAAATCACTTCACCTTTTTAGGGCTCGGATTTTTTGTCTGTTAAAAAAAGAAGTGTTTGAACTGGTTGACCTCTGAGGAACCTTCTAGTTCTAGTTCTGTGACTCTATGATTA